TAAATGGAAAAGACACGGAATAAAATCATTGGACAAGATAGACATCAAACAAATTCCGAGACCCGGTTCACCTCAATAAAGATAATAACTGCAATAAACTGTATTCAGGACAGTGTGATGTCAGGCTCATATGAGTGCAATTGAGGTTAAAGAAAATGATCCATGAAGTCATATGAAACCAAAGAATAGCCATGTCAAATATCAAAGAATTGAAACCGACCCAGGCAATAGAAAGTTTTTTAATGTTTTCCATTCCAAGAGTAAATTAGGGAATTTTGAATGAAGAAAGAAAACTCTAATTATTTATTTCAAAAATCGGCTTAATTGCGGTCTACCAAAGTTGGTCGTCAATATTAGATGTGAGAAAACAACCCACCGTGTAATCCAACCGGGTGGGCTGGGGTAGCAGAAAGGGCATGTTGCTCCTCCTCGGACAAAACCTATAGAACACAGCATGGGAAGATGAGAAACAGTGAGCAATGGTCATCAACACCCTCAAACTCAGTAAAAAACCTACCGGCAATGTTGTCAAGAGAGTATCTACAAATGTGGCTTCAGCTAGCAAGTTCAAAGACTCAGTCTCAAGAATATCAGTTTTGAGGTTAACAAATGGCACCGGACAGAGAGGCTCCACCACCCCTCTTCCCTGACCATCATCCTCATCGGTGGTAACGTGATCCAAATGCACATCAGTATCTGTCAACGAACACTTGAAACCAAAACGCGCGAATCTAAAACCAATAAAACAGAGAGATAACGAACATCCATATTAACATTTAATTCGGAATCCAAATTCGAAATTTGAATTTCAATTTCATTTAACGAGGGATGACTATTGACCTGTGAGAGGCACGAGGGTAATAGAGATTGAAGCCTCGGCCAGAAGGGATACGATGGCGTATTGAAAATGAATTAGTTTGACGAATGGGGAATTTGGCAAAGTGGAAAGTGAGGGAGGCCGCAGCAATAGCCATAGGTGTTGCAGCCTGTAGAACTTCAAGCTACCAATCTTCCTCTTATTTATCCAACTCATGCAGTTGCAGTCCCAAAATCACTAGGCTGAAGAAATCACTTTAGCCTCAATGCTCATCCCCAAACAACACTCTTTTCTTTGGTGGAATCGTGAATGAGATTAATTCGGGATATTTCGCAAACACCTTATCTGTATGAGGTGTTTGGAAGCCTTAGCCTGAATTTTCGTCGCGTGCGACCGAGCAGAGAGTGCAACTGGTAATGTTTGTGTGGATATTTTTTCTCTCTACTTCTTTGCTGAGACCATTACGTAAGAGAATTCTTTAGCAGCCACGTGGCAGTGTCGTTTTATCGTCGTTGCACGCCATTTTTCGTTTCCTCAGAGCGTGTTTGGTTTGAACTTTGATTTGGTTCATGATTTTACTTGCTAATAAGCCGTGATTATAAGTGCCATGTAGCACTTTAGGATTCCACACACTCACACTGCTTCTTGGTGGAGATCCAGTGGCTTGCTAATGAGCCCAGACAAAACACGGGCCGCCACTTGCTAATTGAAGCCCCAAAAAGACCACGGGAAAATCTCTGGAGTGTGGGCCTTGAAGCCCACCTGGAAAAATGGCTTCTTCGACATTACAATTGGGCCAATATTGGAAAGTGCTGCCCACGATCCAAACTCCGTCTTTTTTTCAACTCATTTATTTTCAATTTAGATTTTTTTTTTGTTTATATTGAACGAAAAAACTTAACTAAGTTGAAATTCTTCTAAAACGAGCTTAAACATTAAATAAACATTATATTTGTTAAGACATAGGGTAAGCATAAAACTAAAGAAAAATATAAAATTCAAAGAAAGATGATTTTTTAATTTCTTTACTCAACAGCTGTAACAATCTATCACTCATTCCCAATCTAAGAGTCATACATTAAAATATAAGAAAAAAAACATTTTAAAGTAATGTTTTTTGCTTGAAGTTACTTATACTACATTTTGCCAGCTAACTATTTTTTCAATTTTTTTTTCAAAAAATGGGTGTCTGAATTACAATAAAATATGTCTTTGTTTCTTTTTTTTGGTAATTGCGAAGCCAACCATCTCGATTGTAAAGAATTAATTTGAATAAAATGTGCGACTAACAATTTCTTTTTCCAACGAACACAGTATCTTGAAAACTGACAAAGCTATAATAATAAAAGCCAGATTTGTCTCCAGATATTCTTGCGCCTAATGATACCCTTAACTTATTTTATGCCTTTGCAGTGTTTCCAAACCATACTCGTTCTAAAGACAAAAAAAAAAAAAAAAAAGTCATAATGAATATCATAATTGAATTGTAGGAATTGTTTTAATGTTTGATGCCTAATTTTTCTTTTCTTTTAATATATTTTTCTTATTTTACCACTATATTTAAAATTTTGTCTGTTCTTTAAAAACAGAGTAGAAGTACTCTTTGTTATTGTGACACTCGGGTACTGACGAGGGCGGAAGTGATCGTCGGTGCAAGAGGCACAAAGTGCAAGGGGTACAAACAAAGAGCGGCTCCTGACAGGCTTCCAGTCGAAGGGACACATGGATGAATCGAACATACACCGGAATGAGAGGGATCTAGAGACTGTATAGCTTAAAGAGATTGATTTGACTACTCATATCACCAAAATGCATTTGTTTTTCGGTAGCCTAACCCATAAGAACATCATGGTTATAATATTACTACGACACGAAGATATAACTTTATTCTTTGTATTTTCATGCATCTTCTTCATTTTGTTTTATTTAATTAGTCAATTTTGATTAATAACTTGTTATTTATTGCTCATAACAACAAAATAAATATTAAAACTTTTTTTTCTAGAAGATTTATTTTATCGGTTAAAATATATAAAATTAGAGGAAATTGCGTTAGGATCTTGTGTTAAAATTACGTTTGTAATAATTTTTAAGTATTTTTATCACATTTTGCTTGGGTTTTTATCTTTTTAACAACTTTATTTATTATTATATTTATTATTATATGACCCACACAAAACGTATCAAAATAACAAATTTCAAAAGGAAAGTAAATTCTTTTATAAATAAATAGAATATTTTACCTTGATCCTTGTAAAATAATAATCAAACACATGTTATTTTTGTTCTTATATAAAAGTACATGCACTTGCGTGCAAAGTTACTTGATGGATACTCGTGTTTGGAATAGCCGATTAATATTATAAATAATAAATGTTTTTATTAAGCAGTAGACTTTAAACTTAACTCAATTTCACAAAACTAGTTTATGAAGTGAGGTTTGTATCAATTTATATATTATAAATTTGTCTTATTTTTAGTCGACGTGCGACTTCCAACACTCCATTATATCAAGGTATATACATTTTGAGCGTGAAACTAGACATTAATGAGTGGTCTGATAATGGTACGATAGCATGTAGAACAACATGTCCAACAAACAACAAATATCGATAGGATAGACTCTAACCATAGATCTGATACCATATTAAAATGTTTAAAGAATAATTCTGATGTATTATTTCAAAGAGTGATATACATATAATAATCTTATAATTGTTTATCTGTTAAAGAAATGATTGGTACACAAATTTGCACAAATTATAATAATATCTAAATTACAACTAACACAATAGTTGATTGGTGGCTAATATCCGTTAATAGAATATGTGACATATTTTAACACAAATATTTTAACAACAGGATACTATAATGGAAAATGACCACACTAAGATAGAACGAGATGCATTATAGATATACTATGAAGGACTAAGTGCAAATTTATGGCACAACGACTAAATGAAAGTGATTAACGGTTGAAATTTGATAAATAATAATTACTACTTATTAACTTTTTTTTTAACATTTACTAGAGGTAGTCATTTTTATCTATTAGAGATGCAGGAAGAAACTTAAAGCATAGAAAGAAACCCAATGGGTTTTCTATATCACGATTGGGCCAATATTGAAAAGTGTCGCCTGTGATCCAAACAATTTCTTATTTTCAACTCATTTACTTTTTGTTTAGATTGATCGAAAAGAAAAATTATAAAACTTAACTAAATTGCATAAATCTATTTTGATATTGTGGAATGTGTTATTCTTCTGAATCTTAAAGATTGTTTTGTTCAAAAGTCGGCACGAGAAAAAAGTTTAAAAAAATGGTAAAAAAAAAAAAAGTCGTATGTNTCTGATACCATATTAAAATGTTTAAAGAATAATTCTGATGTATTATTTCAAAGAGTGATATACATATAATAATCTTATAATTGTTTATCTGTTAAAGAAATGAATGGTACACAAATATGCACAAATTATAATAATATCTAAATTATAACTAACACAATAGTTGATTGGTGGCTAATATCCGTTAATAGAATATGTGACATATTTTAACACAAATATTTTAACAACAGGATACTATAATGGAAAATGACCACACTAAGATAGAACGAGATGAATTATAGATATACTATGAAGGACTAAGTGCAAATTTATGGCACAACGACTAAATGAAAGTGATTAACGGTTGAAATTTGATAAATAATAATTACTGCTTATTAACTTTTTTTTTAACATTTACTAGAGGTAGTCATTTTTATCTATTAGAGATGCAGGAAGAAACCTTAAAGTATAGAAAGAAACCCAATGGGTTTTCTATATCACAATTGGGCCAATATTGAAAAGTGTCGCCTGTGATCCAAACAATTTCTCATTTTCAACTCATTTAATTTTTGTTTAGATTGATCGAAAAGAAAAATTATAAAACTTAACTAAATTGCATAAATCTATTTTGATACTGTGCAATGTGTTATTCTTCTGAATCTTAAAGATTGTTTTGTTCAAAAGTCGGCACGAGAAAAAAGTTTAAAAAAATGGTAAAATAAAAAAAAAGTCGTATGTTAAAATATAAGAAGTTGTTTTTTCTTTGAAGTTACTTATATTATTATTTTGTCTTAAAACTATATTCCTAATAATTTTGTCATAAAACAAAAATTTGTCTAAATTACAACAACATATGTCTCTATTTCCCTATTGGTAATTGTGAGAGCCAGTCATCTTGATTGATGAACACTGGAATTGAAAATTTGTTGTTAAAATCTGTGTCTGTCAAATTCTTTTCCCAAGGAACACGTTGAGAAGTATCAGAACCTGGTCCTGTACATTGAATCTCAGAGAAGAAAAGACAACTCCTGCATAAATTTTTCGACAATTTGTAGAACATGTTAGCATAAGTCGAAGATAAAAGACATTAATGAATATAATGTTAAAGGAATAGATAGATCATACACGTCATCTTTGGACTTCCAAGCATCCCATCCTACAGGCCGGATGACACCACTAAGGTTCATTTTATAAAATACAACCCTAGAGCAATGACCATAACCTCTTCCTAATAAAGAGTCTCCATTACTGTTACCTATCACAGAACCTCCTTCAAACACAAAACCAGATGGGTCACTACTTTTATTGCGTGCTTGTGCTGTTATGGAACCCAAGGAAGTCGAATTCACCACACAATCCTACCATAAATTTAATTAATTGGTTAACCATTGTGTATAATTTAATTTGCATAGCTTAATTTGTTACCTATTAAGTACCTGGTAGTAGGATTGTCCATCACCAAATACGAAGTCCACAGCACCTTCAATCATGCAATTTTTGAAATAATGACGACCTAATTCATCCCAAACAGTGTCTTGAAAACCAACAAAACTACAATTATAAAAGGCACTTTTGTCTCCGGCTATTCTTGCAGCCAACGATGGAATCCTTATTCCAAAACTGATCTTATGTATTAGCATATTTTCTAACATTTCCAAACCGTACGAGTTCTGAAGAAAAAAAGATAGACATCATTGATATCAGAATTCGATAGTAACAACTTTTAAATGTTTAATGTCTATGGTGAGACATAATATCTGCTGGTCGTGTTATGTGTATTTTTTCCATCTAATGGAATCACTGTATTAACATATGATATTAATTAACCGTAATACGTTGTTTGTATTAACAAGTCCACTTTGATTCATGATATGTTATTTCGAGTTTTTTTGTATTATTATTAACGGTGGTAAATAGTTGATGAATAATATCGATAAATGAAAACGAGAATGTTTTGAACATATATACCTGAAAAGTAATATCTGATGCAACAACATTGTTTGAAATGGAAGTGAATGTGGCACTAGTATTTGTTGCCGAGTGGTCATCGTTCGTAACGGTGGTAACATCTGCCCCTTGGCCCTGCATATAGATGCATGGCTTATCCACTGGGATGGTAACCCTCTCTCTACACACAATATAATTAGTTTCTCTCTAGTTATTTTAGTATAAATTGACCGTACAAAACACAACAAAATAGTAATTTATATTGGAAAAAAATTAGAAACTTACTTATATGTGCCAGCATTTATCTGAACTTTTACCCATTTGGAGTTTTTTGTCGGTATTGAATCAATGGCATCTTGAATTGATGTGAAATTTGATGAGCTGCTACCAACTACGATTGTGCTTGAAATTTGCGGGCCACCACAATCCACTGCTCTACTAATCTCCGAAGAAGAAACAACAATGACAGCAATGGAAAGAATAATCTCTCTAGTAAATAACTCCATACTCGAAAATGTTGAATCAATTGATACAATTTAGCAGTGCTTGTTGCATTTATATAGATGTTTGAGAATTGGGATTATTATTTTTATTTTGAAATGTTTATTAACTAAGATGTTTGTCAGAAAGTAAAAATAAATAATTAAATTTTAATAAGAAAACCATTTCCGATTTTTTACTAATTTTTTTGTTGTTGTCGTTGAACATTAATAATACGATAATATTGATATATTATATATATTTTTAGATATTTTAAAATATTAAAATCGGTAATCTTTTTAAAGTGAAAAACAACAAAAATAAATTCAGTAAAAATCTAAATTTGGAAACGACCGAAGAAATCGTCTCTTTATTTATTTACAACTAGTTGACTTTTATTTAATTAATAATTTAAATATATAATTAAAGAATATGATTAATGATTTTCAAGTATTCGATTTGACTTAGTATTTTAGTTATGAAAGCCAGCTGCAAATAATGTCTAGTCTATATTTCATTTAATGCTATTAATGAGTACATCTGTATTATCTTATTAAAATACAAAATCATATTTAAAATTTTATAAATTTAAGAGTTTTAAAAATTATGTATTAGAATTAATAGGTTATTTAAACAGTGACATTTAATTATTTTAATAATAAAAATTGAAAGTATAAATAGAATTTTTTAACAAAGATTTATAATTTTAAAATTATATTATTTTTTTAATTTTTTTTAAAGATTTTTTTTATTATATGTTCACTTGTTTGAAGATCGGAGTTTACTAGAGTGATCATTACAGTGAACTCTCTAGTTTTGTTTGATAAATTTTTTAATAAAGTACATTGATTTTTTGTTCCTTTTCTTAGCCGATATGTTCTTTATGTATATGTGGACCATTTTGGTTCATACATAGTGTCTGGATCTTCTATAAAAAAATTTGTTGATTAGTGATTTTAATGATATGTCATGATTATATTTATGTTGTTCATAAGAATCGATATAGTCTCTTGTGCATCTAAATGTGTTAATATGTGATTTGTTGAATATTTGTGTCAACTTTATTTTGATATGTCTCTTATGGTATATTTAATATGTGATTTTGTGAATATTAAGATGATGATTGGTTTATAATGTAATATGAGAATGATTGGTAATAATTCAAGGAGGATTAATGGTAGTTACAATAGTGTGTATTAATATAATCATCCAATCTTAAGTAGAAAAAATGAGGTATGCGATGAGAGAATGTGGTATGTGATGAGAGGAACATGAGGTCATAGTCTAGGCGTTTTACATTGACCAAAGATGTTAACAGATTAACCTTGTGTGTGGTAGGGTGAAACTCATTACAATGACTCTACAGGGTAGTAGAGACTTCCACAAATACATAACTCACTCGAGTCTGATATCAATATATGTGTTTAGATCGTCGAGTCTAATATGAGTTTGTTGTTATGAATGACTTATATGTAATATCTCTATACCTGTTTTATGATTACTCTTTTTGCATATTAACTTACCTTTTTTTTATGTTGTTTTATTTTTGTGCTCTTTTATTTGTAATAATTATCTTAATGGTGTGAACAATAAAAAATAAGGATATAGTTTAAGGTAATATTGATATGTATAATTTTTTTTTAAAGAAAAAATACTTTGTTCTATTAGCTTAATTATATGACTATATGTTTGTATTATATACTTTTATAAATTAATGTAATATAATAGTTATATGTTAGTGGTAAATAAGATTATAGATGATAATTGTAAATAAATGTTTTTTTATTTAATAATATTAACTAAAGTGTAAATCTTATAAAACTTATTAATTGAGGAAAAATTTACAGTGAGGTATTGAGTAATATGACAAAGTAATATGCGGACAGCCGGAAAAAAAGTAAACTAATATATTTATCCACATGTTTCTTTCCAGATACGGAAACTTAATAACCAAAGAAATGCGATGATGTTTTAAAAATCGATACAACAAATTATGAAAACCGAATAAAATAACATCTCAATCTTTCCATAAAATGTAATAAAATATTTATTCTTTATTCCCATATTTCTCTTTCCTTTTTTATAAATTTTTGATACCATCCTTCCTCTAGTTTAAAGATTATAGAAAGGATCCTTATAAAGAGTATTATATATCTAAACGATTAGAATATAAAATAAAATAAGTTCATTTTTTTCTTCATTTGAATCGGTTTAACATTTTGAATTATATGGGGTCTTTTAGTTTATATATGACTTAAAATAACTTAAATTGAACATCAATTTGTTTGTGATAATAGAGTTGTGTTTAAATTTATAATTAGAATATTTTCTTTTATTTAGTTAGAACCACATATAAAAATTAGAGCTATTACGAATTATAACAATTGGAGTTATTACGAATCTATAAGAATTAGAACTATTTAACAACAAGTTAAATATTAAGAAAATTTTCTCAAATAATATTTTAATTATATGATTTGTGCTTGTTTGTATGAATTGGTGTGTGATTATTACTTTCAATTATATGACTTGTGATCATAATTGAAGTAGACTTAAAATAGAGATGTGAATGTGACTTGTTATTATTAACAATGGCAACAATACAAAAAATGATCTCACTAGTAATTAATTCCATACTAAAAGAAATGTTGAATTAATTGATACAATTGAACAATGTTTGTTACAATTATATATAAAACGTTTAAGAATTGGAATAATTAATTTTATCTGTGCAATCATTTAATGTTTATTAAATAAGATGTTTGTCTAAAAGTGAAAATAAATTATTGAATTTAATAAGAAAAGGAGTTCATATTTTCTATAGAATTTTTTGGTACTCTTTTCAGCTTAACATTAAAAAGATACACTGTAAATTATAAATTCGTAATATATTTTAAAACATAAAAATCAATATCAATTAATATATATATTTGAAGACACATTATATTAACAATAAAAAAAAAACTCCACCAAAAAAAATATAAATTCTAAGAAAACCGGAGAAACTTTCTTTTTAATTTATTTATAAGTAGTTAACTTTATTTAATCAATAATTGAATTCATAAATAATTAAAATATTATAGTATTATGATATAAGTTATATAATTAAAGAATATGATTAGTATTTTTCAAATATAAAATTTCACTTAGTATTGGTTATAAAAACTAGCTGCAAATAATGTTTATATCTCATTTAATGTATTAATGAGATCATCTTTATCCTCTCTGTGATACACAAAATTATATTTAAAATCCTATAAAAGTTTATAATTATATTTCCATATGCATCCTTATTTTTATGATATAAATTTAAAATTATTGATGCTAATAAGTTTATAGATTATAGATTACATTTAAAATTATATTTTTTAAATGTAACATCTTGATTAAAATCCGTATTTAGGACCTGATTTACTCGTGTTTTATATATTTTTTTAAGTTTTTTAATTAATCTTAAAAGGTAAAAAGGCCACTTTTATCTTGATTATTAGAAAATATACTAAGATTTATTAAACTATATTAACTTAAATATTAAATATATATTTTGTTTAAAACTATGTAAACTATACACTTAAAGTATGGGTAGAATTATATTAAATATAACAGGTGCGAATATTTTGTAAACACAAATATACTCCCATACTACAGTATCTGTCGTGTTATTATGGATAAGGATAATATTTCACAGTATTTTTTAACAATATTTTAATATTATCTATGTGTTATGTTCATGTTAATATTTATGATTGTTATTATTGATTGTGGAGTAATTTTGAATCAATTATAAAATAATACGTAAATAATATTAAAATATTGTCAAAAGGTGTTGTGAATGTGAATTTGTTTATTTTCTTTAACAAGATGTCCTTGATAACTTAATCTATTCTTTTTCTTTACCTTATATATACGTACTATAAGGATAAAATAATTCTAAAAAATGTATTTTTATATTTTTTTAAAATAAAAAGAAAAAGAATTGTGTAAATAAAAATAAAAGATTCATGTATATCAAAATATCATTTTTCATGTTTTTTTTTTTCAACTTGAAATCTCCTGTACTAAAGAAGACACAAATTTTAAAAAACATTACCGATAACTGAAAAAGATTTCAAATTATAAAAATTCAGTATGATTTTCAAATCAGGGTTTAAGCATGATCGACCCCAGGAACTAAAAATTTCAACTTTTTATAGCACAGGGGTTGCAGATAATCTGGATCCAAACCCAAAACTGTCCTTAGATCATCATTGCTGCCAGCAACGTTAATATTTGTACATTTAAAACTAGATGACCAAAAAACCATTTCCTTTTTTGTATATTTTGAGTAGAACCAAACCCGAAATAGAAACAGTAAAATGCTGCAAAATCGTATTTATCCATTTGAATTTTGATGAGGTAAAAAGTAGGAACGCCACGTACTGCGTGCAGCTGTCGCAAAGGCATAACTTAAGGTTTCCATGTTCATTTGAAGTAGTTGGGGGTTAGTGTTTCACCCTAGCTTCGTTGCTTTGCCTCCTCAAACATGGAGAAGAAAGAGGAGATAATACTTCCATTGCCATCCGAGACCCATCTCAAGGACCTTCCCAATGTTTCCTCCACCTCAAGGCCTGTTGGGTCCCACAAAGGGCACTGTTCTCCGGGTGATGACTCCGACAGCTTCTATGATAAACTCGTTGAGTTGTTGGAGTCTTCTGGACTCACTCTCATGTGAGTGATTTACTGCTTATATAAAACAAACACTTCATTCACTCAACAACATTGTAGCTGCCTCTTGTTTTCATATATTCTTAACGTGCTTCCCATTTTGCGTTTTGTTTCTCTGATGGGGTGGTGAAACACTCCAGTCACGTTTCTTTTTAGCTGTTGTTTGGTTGCTCTCAAGGTGCATTGCATGCAAAGAAAGTTCACTTTTTTTTTTAGTGGGTGCTTCCAGTTTGGCGAGTTTGAGCTCTTGACTTTTCATGATTGTTCTCATGAACAGAAACAGTCACCACCACCTTCCTAATTTAAAATTATTATCTGTTTTTGTCTCAATCGAGGTTTGCAAAATGTTACTTGTTTTTTTTCTTACAGTTGTTCTTTCTCTCATTTTTTAGTCTACTGTTGCTGGTTCATCATGAAATTTTGTTATTTAATAGATAACTGTGGGGGAGGGTGATGTGAAATATGAAAGGTTTGAATAATAATGCTCTAATCCAATTCTACTTGGCAGTTTCAATGTTCGAGAAACATTGCTGGACTTGTACCTGTTTTACTTGGAGGTGACAAGAAGAGGAGGATATCAACAGGTATATACATACATACATACATATATATATATATTGCATTGCCCTGTGGAAGTGTGGTCCAAATTGACATCAAGATATTTAGTTGTTTTCGTGTGTTATTTTGTCAGTATTGGAGCTTCTCTGTGCATGTGAGTAATGTCAGTATACTGCATGAATTTGTCTCTAATTTAATACAATGTTAATGTCATGGATTTTCTCTTAAATGTTTTCAGGTTGGTCGAGAAAGGAAGTGGGGTGAAGTTGTGATTGCCCTGAAATTGGAAGGGAATAGTGTGAAGTTATCTGCTCAAGTTGAAAGGCTTTACTCACATCTTCTCTACCAGTTTGAGCAATTGTACTTCTACAGGCGTCCTGAAAAGCTAGCTTTCCGATCTGCCAGCAACAAAGGTTAGCCCAATATCCCTATTGTTATTTGTTATTTAAGTTGATACAATACAAATTCAATCTGGCATTTGAGCATAAGTTTGATATGGAATGTTCTTGGCAGTTTCTACATACATTTACTGCTTAGACATGCATAACACAAGACATTTCAGCAACATTTTTATTTGATGTTTTTGCTACATTTTGGTTTTTGGCTGAAAATGTACTGATTGACCTTAAAGGCTCCTTTTGCTCCCTTTCCACGTCTTCCTCTTTAGAAGAAGGTCCGCTTAGGAAGAAGAGGATTTCAACAGTGAGTTTGGCTCCTAAGATGGATAGTAAAGATGATCAGAAGGCCACAGAAATGTCCAAGCAATACTCTTGCCACATGACAGGTTTGTTGATTGGCTAAAATCTTTTCAGGCTTTGAGACTATGTAAATCGGTTTTCTTCAGTAACGCTTATGACTTCAGAGATGCTTATGCTATACTTTTTGTTCCAACCTAGCTGGGGCTGGGTATGTGCAACAGCCTGTGCTTTTACCAACACCTCCGAAAGAAAAGAAGAAACGCCGAGGTGCCCCGGTGGGACGAAAGACTGCATATCAGATATTCCTCAAGCATGAATGTGCTCGGTTGAAAACTTGCAATGAGGTCTTGGATGGAAAAATACTGAGTATGGCTATTCATTCATGGAGGACCATGTCTGAAACTGAGAAACAGGTATGTAAAAGTTGGTCTGGTTGGCTTATTATGTATTCCATTTCTGATAACTTTTCATGCAGCCATATGTGGAGGAAAGCAAGAAGAACAAAGAACAAATTAAGGAAGCAATGGTTAGACGCAATAAACAGCAGAGCAGCCAAGAGACCAGGGAAGAGAAGTGGTCTAGTATTTGTGGTGATTACCATGTAACACTGCAACCTGAAGCAGATGTAGCTCTTAAAATGACTGAAAAAGCACCAATGGATCCTCCATTTCAGATGGATTGGGATGGAAATTGTTCACTTGATTTTGCAACAAGGGAATCCGAGTAACTCCACTAGTTGTAGACGGGTTTTTTCTGCTCTGAGACCATATCTGAGCATTCAGCAGTTCTCTGTTTACAGTGGCTCGATCCTTGCTGCTATGTATATATATATCCATGGTTTTGGAACAGCTTAAATGGGCCTGTAATAGTTGCGTCATAGCATTTTCTCTTGACACTAGGAAAGTATGTAGATATATGTAGCAAAGTCTTGTATGGTAACGCAAACTTGTGTGGTGTAACTCCTATTCCAGACTGCGTTTTCCTTGGGACTTAACATTTGCAATGAAGCTTTAATTCCTCTATTCTCTTCCTCTATGTTGCGGATTCTGATTTAACTAATCTCTTTTTCATTCAAATTTCACGTGGTATTTATAGGCTCATGAAGTATTCAAATTGTTTGATTAGATAATCCCAAAGGTTTAATTTTAATTAACTTCAAAAATAGTTAGAAAATTAAATTGTTGAACAAGCATCAGTACAAATTAGTTCCGAGTTTGAATGACTGAGTGGGAATTATGAACGGATAAAGAGAACTAAACAGAAAATAAAAGAGGGGGTGTATTTAGTAAAAGAGGGTGTATTTAGTATTATTTATCTGTATTTGGCAAAAGAGCATGTAAGGCCGAATAAAGCCCGATATAGAAAAAAGATAAGATTCAGAAGTCAGTGTTGGTACAACAGCCAACTACCAAAAAAGTTTAAGAAAAAATATTTGCTTTTTTTAAAAAAATGTTTCTTTTCAATTAAACTATTTTTTTTCACTTTTTAAACTTTTGTAATTACAACAGACAAGTCTAAAACAATATAAAAAACATACATAAGTTCTACTGGAGTATTAGCGTAATTGAGATGTAAACTAATGATAACATTTAAATTAGTATCCATACAGTGAAAAGAGGTATTCAAATAATATGAATTTAATTTATTTATTTTTATTACAAATTAAATTAATGATAAAAAAAGATAAATTTGGTATTTGTATGTCTCTGACAAAATTCTTATAAAAAGAACAAGAAAAATCATTTTGATCCTAATAAGCTTGAAAATAATAATAGAAATACAATCACAGAATCATATTAATAAATAAGAGGAAGTGATACATTGAATGAAAATATGACTAAGTTCTAGGAGGACACGTGAATATGACTAAGCACGTGTACTAAGTCAACATAAAAATTTGATTATAAACACTGATAGTGCTGTAGTTTTTGTGGCCTAGTAGTGTTCTTCGTAGTTGTTAGCTGTATCTTGTGATCTACCTTCTAGAAGTAAATAAATGTGGGTCTGCCACATGTGAAAAACGACTTCGCTTTGAAACTCTGTGTCTTAAGAACTTGATTAAAGGATAATCCATAAATATTAAATTCTATATATGAATATAATCTCTTCTTTTAAATCAATAGTTCTTTAAATGCTGAAACGTAAAAATTTTACATCAATAATTCATAATCACATGGCTAACTTTTCCATTCATCATCTTATGGGCCATCGTCTTCACTTATAAAAATCTATAAATATTCAAAATTATTTTTATGTATCTAACAAACACCATCCTTTTCACTTGTAAAGGAAGATTGTTAAGAATCTTGAGATACTCTCGTCATCTTCTCTTGTTTTCACTTTGGATTACTTATCAACTAAGTATGCGTTTGGTTTACAATTTCAGAAATTAATTTAAACCAACTTCACTATACAATTGATTTTAGTCAAAAGTGCGTCTGAGTAGATTGATTTATGTTTTAAAAGTGTTTTTGATGGAAAAGTGGTTTTGAAATAACAAATGTGGTTAAAGTAGTAAACTATATATGACTATATTTTTGTGAACAATATCAAATGAGATTTCACTTCAGCACAGCGACAAAACATTGTTTCTCGGATAGAGAACAAGTCGTAACTTTGATGCAAGTACAGTTTGATTATAGAAGTATGAAACAAACACTTTAACATAGATTTGAAAGCACGTTTAATGTTTGAGACGTGGTTCTACAACATGTGTTAAACGTATCTGAAAACAGTCTAGAAACACTTGACTCAAACCCCTCATAAAAGTGGATTTAATATATATTATTATAGTCCACACCCAATATAACACAAATTTATAATATATAAATGAGTATAAATTTTATTTTATAAATTGATTTGATGAAATTGAGTTAGACATAATATTCACTTTTTAATATAGTATTAATTATAGTTATGAGTTTAAGTTTATCATAACAATGCATATAAATTAATACAGATAAATTTCAGAAAAAGAGATAGTTCGAATAGATAGTTTAAAACATAGGCAGTCTTTTGGTCCGAAGTCAAATATTATACACGAGATAACTTGTATAAATGAACAAAGTGTAAAACACTTGAATAAACATTCAAAGAATACATTTCTATCTCTTAACGTTCTTCTAGTACAATGCAGAACATTTGAAAAAACGATGTACTTTTGTGATCCGTAGAGATAAAGAAAACACATCACATAAGAAAAACTAATACTATTCATAATGTATTTAATACCTTAAGTGCTTAGGCAAGGTACGATCATGGATTAACAAAGTATAAAACACTTGAAGAAACATTCAAAAAATGTATTTCTGTCTCTTAATGTTATTATGGTACAATGCACAACATTTGAAAAAGTGTTGTATTTTTGTTATATGCACATATAAACAGAACACAACACAGACGACAAACTAGTACTATTTAATATTTTAAGCGTTTAGGCATTGTACGTGTACTTAGCATTAAAACAATCTCTGTTTTCACGTTAACGTTTAGGATAAAGTTAATATGACTAAAACGTTTAATAAGTTTATCCTAAACGGTTCATTTTTATTAGATGCACTGTTTATTAAACTTTAAAATACGAGTTGATAAACGATATTGTTTTATTAAACAGTTTTGTCTTATAGACACAAATTATAGCTAAAATAATCTAAAGCATCAACTCGTTTCTGTTTGAATTAACATATACTTAATTATTGATATTTTATATTTTATCTGTGTAACTTTTTATACTTATATATTGATATATTTATCTTGTTAATAACTAAAATCAATTTCTTTATTTTCAAGTGAATTAACTCATTTTAAAAACAAAAGGGATTTTGTATTTGACCCTGAAGAAAAGTCACACGCCTACTATTTTTGACAAATGCTTCTCCTCGCTTCATAGCTTTATCAACTAACTAAATTAGGTAAACAAATGTATGTCTTTTACATAATTCAATCTCACACCATTAGTCATACATGGACATGTGTTTATGGCAACCTCATATCACTTCACAAAAAAATTATTAAATACTTTTTTTCAAAACATTAAAAAAATATGTTTTATTCTTAAACTAAATTATATGTTACTTATCTTTATATTCTATAAAAAAGTTGTAGTCGTTGGATTTTTTTTATAACAAAATAAATTTCATAGTGGACAAATGTCACTCAGTAGATCATGTTTTACATAACTTTTAAACACAAACAATATAATATATAATTTAGTTTTGAGAAGAAACAATTTAAAATATATATATATATATATATATATATATATATATATATATATATATATATATATATATATATATATATATATATATAATTCACAGTCAGACACGAATTTATATGCGATAATTTCCAAGCAATTAATTCTTTATCTGAACAGTAATTATGCAACCACTTCTTTTGTTGTCAAAGAATTCACGGAAAAGAATTAGTTGAGACAGTTCTTCAACTCATTTTTGTGTTTTGAAAAGAGAAAAGGACACATTTGTTAAGACAATTTTATGCAACGTGTTATTATTATTATTATTATTATTATTATTATTATTATTATTATTATTATTATTATTATTATTATTATTATTATTATTATTATTTGTTTTTTAATAGTAGGTAGTGAAAACTACAACATTTTTTGTCAACTCTCACTTTTAATTAAAAGGGTAACAAAACCATATCTACTACATTTATTGCCAAGTTTAATTACGAAAAAATTTAATTGAGACAACTTATCAACTCTCAATTTTAAAATGGTAACTTTATTTAGTTGAGAAAGCTTGATGCCATGCTCTATAAATGTTATCATATTCATTTCTCTTTCATAAATAAAAAGACAATTAGAAAAGACAGTTTGTCAACTCTTCTTAAAAAGGCCAATTGACATAATTTATGTTTTTTATGGATATAAAATAAAATAAACAATATAATAGTTAGGAATGATAATTTAAAAAAAATGAAAAGATATCCTGTTTGAACCAATAGATTAATACAAGAAATTAATAAATGATCTTTATTTATTTGAATAAGTACAAATAAATAAATAAATTATATGAAAATATTAGTATACTGTTTACACGAAGAAAAAACAATATTCCTCTATTATTTTAAAATATAATTTTTCTACAACTTCATCATAAGATGGGAAAGGGGAGGGGAAGGCAAATACAAAAGTAAAACCTGGTATTCGATTTTACCTCTTTCCCTATTTCAATGAAGTCTATTTTCACCCGAACAAACACAAAATAGATAATATCTTAACGATATTATATGACACACTTTTAAGATAAAATTGTCATAAAAATATAAAATTTTTTATTTTTTTAAAAATATAAAAGAAAAATAAAGATAATGTTAAATAAATGTAAAAAATTTAAGTGTATCAAAAGAATATTTTTCAATCTTAAAATTTATCATCAGTGTGCATAATTTAGTTACTTAAATATCAAGCAAAGAATTTTAACTTTCAGTTTTCTCATATCTGTAAATCTTGAATTTTTCTTTAGAAATATATTTTTAATAATATTTTTCTTCGAGGATTTAATTTTGATTGTTATCTTACCCTTGTTTGTAACTAAATCAACTTGACGTAAGTTATTTTTTCCTACGGTTAACAAACATTATTTTTTTCAATTATATTTTGTTCGACAAAAAAAAAACTCGTTTCAAAATAAAAAATCAATTCTTGTATGCGTTACGACCTTCCATTTTTTCTGCTTTCATAAAATCTGTCTCTCGATCGATTGTACACAAAATAATTTCACATATTTATTTGACATTAAACAAATATTTTAAAAGTTATTAATTATAAGTTAATTATTTTTAATAGATATATTAGAATTTTGGTAAGATTTAGTTTCCATATTTACTTATGAAAAAAAAATCCTTCGTTTCAAATTAATTTTCAAGGACCAATTATTTCGAGAAACAAAGGTCTTCTTTTCTTTCAAATTTTAATTTAAATAAAACATGTCATTTATCATTCTTAAGCACATTCTGATAGACGTTGCAACAAAATTATTAATAA